AAACTCATTTTATATTTTTAAATTTTTAAAAAATAATTAATATATTTGGGGAAAATTATAATTCTATTAATCAAAATAATGATACTGTTAAAATTTGGCAGCCTTTTAACAAGATGACTCTAATGCAATTTGAAATTTTAAGAAATGACGATGTAATTCAAAAATAAAAAAAATAAAGGCAAAAATATAGATTTTTATTTCTTTTTTAAATTAATAGATTTAGAATTTACATTTCAATCGAATCATAAATAAATATGTGTACAATATTAGATGGTCTAATGTGAAGTACCATAATAAATAATAACACATACCATTAATTGTGACCGTCGCCTCCACATGTGACCAAGTTTTCTCTACGTGCCCACAATAGAACCATTACCATTCCCACTTTAATTTGGTTTGATTTTTTTTTTAAAAAAAAATTATAAAAATTAAAAGTAATTTAGCAAAAAATAATAATAAATAGAAAACACTAATCAATTTTATATAACTTTGCCCTTTTGGGGTTGAATATAATTTTAAATTTTTTTTAACATATTTTAAATATTTATTTTTGTCGAGCAAAGTCATTATGATATGTCTCTATTAAGAGCATCTCCAATAGCAAATGCTATAATAACATTTGTAATTATTATAATTTGACAATGAATAATAGTAAATTATAAAATTATAATAATGGTGCTCCAATGGTCACATGTCATTTTGGTAAATCTCAACTAATTTTTCTTCCAATTTTGTATGTGTTATTCAGATATAGGTTTTTTAGTGATTTTTTTATTATTTATTTTTTATCTTTTGTGACCTTTTTCAAACTTTTTCTAAAAAAAATATTTACATTCTATCCAACTAGACAAATATAAAAAAATTTAAAATTTTTTGAAATTTTGAAAAAAAATTATTGTCTTCATTTCAATAAATTTGTATTTTTTTCATAATAATAATGAAAAATTAAAATTATATTAAAAAATAAGTTATATTACAAAAGTAAAATTACATTGAAACAATACATTACATTATAAAATAAAAATTACATTAAAAAATAAATAATATTGTAAAATAAAAAGTACATTCTCTACCAATTATTCATCAAGGGAGACTCCCAAACACAAAACAAGCTTCTCTAGCCTCATTTTTTAAAATTTGGAGCGGTCCTAAATAAAACACCTAAATTGACTTTGACGTGTTAAAAACTAGGAAGAAAAGGTGGATCCTCCTCTATCCCAAGTCCAAAGTGATGGGGACATAAATGTCACTTTCAAATATTTAAATTTAATGTCTTGACTTTTTCTTTTCTTCCTTCTTTCCATGACAAATGCTAATTATTGACCAAAACTTCAAAATGAAACTTTATATTATTAAATCTTACAATGATGGGAGTTTTTGAAGATAAGAATTTTAAAGGAAAAAAAAAATAAATTGTAAGACTTTTTCTTATTTTAAAAATTTTTCATAGATGTTACGCAATAGACTAAACGAATTTGCCTTGCAATAGTAGTTAACAAGCTTTAAAATAATTGTCTTTCTTTTTACAAAAAATTTAAATAAATAATATATAATTACTTTAGACCATCAATACAACACATTCACGAGAGTCAAGTTGAAGAATGTCCCTCACTATTGTAGGAGTGTAAGAATAATCAAGAAAAATTGACTAAACCGATTGAACTAGACTAGATTTGGTCTTTTTTGAACAAGAATCGGTCTGCACAGCTTTTAAATTTGATTTTTTTAATTTTCGGTTCGATATCGATTTAAACACCTTATACTCCGATCTAAACTAAAACCGACCGCTTCAACATATATTGTATTTATAAGAAATATATATATATATAATCTAATTATATAATGATATTAATAAGTATAATAAATTATTAACCTTATCATCTTCATAACCTAAGTTTATAAACTCTCATTATATATAATCTTAATTCTAACTCATTATTCTTGAAATTTTAGTATTTTTAAACTTTTTTTTGTTTTTATTTTTGTGAATTTAAGAATTGAAAAGTATGTATTAAATTGATGGATTGAATATGTTTGAAATGGTAGACAAATAACTAATTTAATATTTTTATATAGATTAATGATTATATTTAAATGTGGCTCAAGTTTGAAAAATCCTAAACTGATGAAACCGCACCAAAGCAAACTATTTCAATTGGTTCGGTTCGTTGCGATTTGATGGGAAAAACAGTCTGTATCAGTGTTCAAAATAATAAAACCGACATTTTCAATTCGGTATAATTTTTTACCTAAATATCGACCGTACCAAACCGATTGCATCCTATACTATTGAATGACTAGCCAGATTTGTTCAAAATAACAAATGTTAGACATTGTTTAATATTGAAATTAGAATAAGAATTATATTGAAAATGAGTGAAAATATTAAGGCTTGGTTTGGGGTACATTAAAAAAGTTAAAAAATCAAAAAGTTACTATCCTATTTAAGTCACATCATCTTATTTAAATCACATCACTTCTCTACCACATCACTTCAAACCCAACCTATACCCAACTCATATTTCATAAAAAATCAAAAAGTACACTTATTTACATCATCCCAAACCACCCCTAAAAATATATATATATATATATATATATATAAAGTGCATCGTGTTCTCTTTTTTTATATTTTACTTGTGCTTTTGAAACATTTGTTAACAAGACTTTTTCAAAATTAGAAAATAATTTTCTTTTATTATCAGCATTTATTAAGCCAACTGTGAATGGGAGTTAAGTCACCTAACCCGATCAGCTTTCTTGACTTTGTATGCAAATGTTGGTCTACTACAGAGATGAGATGATGTTAATTATTGGGATATCTAAGTTTCCCCCCAACCAAATCCTTTTTAATGACATACCAAAGGGTATAGGTTACATCATCCTCAGTACCTTTATATGACCTTCTTCTCTCTTTTTTTATGTGTTATATATGTATGTACCTAGTTAAAACTCAAAGAATTAAAATTAAAAAAGGTTCAAGTGTAAAGTAGTAAGGCCTTGTGATCTAAGGCCTTTTGTTTAAAGTACTAATTGGGGATGAGAAGAGGTGGGGAGCATGTGATCCTGATCGGTTATGAGATTAGCCTTTGATTAGGATGTGAGTTGTTTTTTTAATTTTTTAACTTTTTAACTAGTTAGGAGTTAAAAAGTCTCGTTTGAGATGAGTTTTTTTTTGTTTTTTTTTATTTTTATGAGAGGAAAAATAAAATGATTATGATTATAATTTGAATGTGACATTTTTTAGCCTAGGGTAAAAAGTTTATTTTATTTTTTTGTGACTATTTTTACACAACCCACCCTAAACCCAACTTCCCAAACGAGTGCTAAGGACATGTTTGTTTGATCGTAAAATATTTTTAACAAAATAATTTTTATGTTTTTCAGTGTTTGATACTACTAAAAATTGATAAAGTAAGATGTAATATGATTAATAAAATAAAAATCGGTAGCTTAAATTTTAGCACTTCAGCCAAACGTCGAAAAATGAGGTAAAGAATTATTTTTTCCTTTTGTAAAATGTTTTAACAATCTCATGGGATACTTAGGTCAAGTTTGGCATACCAAAAATAATCCATCTTTTTATCTTTTTATCTTTTTTTCATCACATCACCTCTCTACTTTTCTACACATCTTTTCGTAAAAAGACAAAAAGTGCACTTATTTAGGTCATAGGAGTTAAAAAGTCTCGTTTGAGATGAGTTTTTTTTTGTTTTTTTTTATTTTTATGAGAGGAAAAATAAAATGATTATGATTATAATTTGAATGTGACATTTTTTAGCCTAGGGTAAAAAGTTTATTTTATTTTTTTGTGACTATTTTTACACAACCCACCCTAAACCCAACTTCCCAAACGAGTGCTAAGGACATGTTTGTTTGATCGTAAAATATTTTTAACAAAATAATTTTTATGTTTTTCAGTGTTTGATAGTACTAAAAATTGATAAAGTAAGATGTAATATGATTAATAAAATAAAAATCGGTAACTTAAATTTTAGCACTTCAGCCAAACGTCGAAAAATGAGGTAAAGAATTATTTTTTCCTTTTGTAAAATGTTTTAACAATCTCATGGGATACTTAGATTTTGCTAATTCAATCACAAGGGGAGTAGAGGTAAAAATATTTTATTGACCTCACTTTACAAAAATAACAAAGCCGCATTTTATATATTTTTTTCGTCTCAAAATATTAGTCTCTCAAAAAGTACAATTATGACAATTAATAATTCCAAAAAAATATACTTTCAAAGGGTAATTTTAAAAAATTATTATTTTTAAAGTGCAATAATTATACTATCAAAAAAAGTTAGATTCTCCAAAAGGAGCTATTATTTTGAGACGGAGGGAGTAATAAGTTTTTTTTTTACATAATTTCATATATTTAATTATAACCAAATAATAATATCACACTAATGCACAAATAAACATAATTTATCTTACATTTCTAATTTAATCTCACTGTACTAGTAATCTCTTTACTCAATTTTACTATACACATAATTCATTCAACTTAGCCGGGCAAAGAAATTGAATGTTGGCAAGTTGAGATTGATGTGTCTCCAAAATTCAAATCTAAAATCTAGGCACAGGTTAAAAACCAAGTATCAACACAAACAAAATTTTATACACAATTTTTATACAAAATAACTTGTCATTTCGTAAGCATTTCATTTAACATCGCAATGACACCAACTATTAAATTATTGAAAAATGTTTGAGGGTCACAATTTTTGTGGTCACAATGGCTCAAAACTGTCAAAACGATATCGTTTTGAGTGCAAAATATGCCAAAACGACGTCGTTTTAACAGTTTTGAGCCATTATAGTCACAAAAATTATGGTTCTCTAGTGTTGTTGTAAATGATTCCACTTAAAACAGTATCAAGGGGAACTTTGATCCGAATACAAAATATTAGCACTAGAAAATATTTTCTGTAAGGGATATACCAACGTGGTGTACCTCTGTCACACATTCATATAAAGCCCACAGTTGTAAAGCCCACAATTGTGAAGCCCAAATAGAGATTCTAAAGTGCGTCCCGCGTAAAAGTGAGCCGTTACGATTCCCTCCAAATTTAAACAAAACGAAACAGACTTTGCACAACACATCACTCATCCTTCCCTTTCCATGGAAGAAACAATAGATGAAGAGACGGCAAGCAGAGAGAGAGAGAGAGAGAGGGAGAGAATCGCTTTTTGCGGCTCCGACAAGCTATTCTTTGCTCTACCCATCACATTCTTCTTCTATATGCTTTATATATATATGCATTATAGAAAGTCCACAAGGAACCAGTGAAAACCCATTTCGATTTCAAATCTCCTGCATTCACAATCATGTCTTCCACCCCTCCACCTCCTCCAACAACCAATAATAGCATTGGCATTGGCATTGGCAACAGCAACAGCAACAGAAACAGAAACTCTCCGCTATATTGGTGTTACCAATGTCACCGGACTGTCAGAATTCCCTCTGAAAACCCATCTGACCTCGTCTGTACTCACTGCTCCGGACAATTTTTATACGAAATCGACGTAGCCAGGCCTACGCTTGTTTTTGATTTCACCCAATTCGATCCCTCCCCTGAAGCCCGCATTCTCGAAGCCCTCACTCTCATGATCGATCCACTTATTGCCCACCAAAATCAAAATCAGTTCCCAGATATAGGACTTCAACCGCCTTGGCGGCGGCGTCATGGTTTTGGAAGTCGGGGTTGGCACTGGCCGTGGAGGCGAAACAGGGTTGTCGATGAGAGTGATGATTGGGACCCAGAAAGTGGGATTCTTGCTCGTCCTCGCTCCTGGATTATCCTCAGACCTGTAGGACCTCCACCTGTTCGACAAAATTCCCAACTCGAAGGTTTTGTTCCTCCGGGGGCTAATCCTCAGGATTACTACATTGGGCCTGGGCTAAGAGAGTTGATCGATGAACTGACTCAGAACGACAGACAAGGCCCTCCCCCGGCCCCTGACTCGGAAATCAACGCTCTGCCAACTGTGAAAATCACCAAGGACCATCTAGTCGACGATTCAAATTGCCCTATTTGCAAGGAAGAATTTAAAGTTGGTGGGGAAGCAAAAGAGCTGCCTTGTAAACATGTGTATCACTCTGACTGCATTGTTCCTTGGTTGAGGCTTCACAACTCTTGTCCTGTTTGCCGGCACGAGCTGCCAGTTCCGTTTGAGAACAGAGTTGAGGACGAGCTGCAAGTTCCGTTTGAGAACGGGGTTGAGGATGATGAGACTGATGAGGATTCTTTTGATGAAGCAATTTCTAGATACAGGCCACACAGGCGGAACAGGAGGTGCTTGAGGTTAAGACAGTTAGCCTCCTCTTTATGGCCCTTCCGCTCAAGGTATCGCCGACCACTTGATCCCCAAGGTGATAGAACATTACTTACTACTCATGCCATTGAGAGTTAAATAAATTCCTTGAAATTTATTATTTAATTTACTGTTAATTTTATTTGGTTGGCCTCTGTTTCTGTTGCTTGAAGAGTTAATAATCTTCCAAATATAGTAAATCGTGTTTCACAATTTACAATGATAAGATCCAAAAGTTAGAGCCCAACTTGTAATGAAGATGAGATTAGCAAGCCAAGTTCAAAAAGTTTGTCTCAATTTTGAAGAACTTAATTTAAATTTGGTTTCTCAACAAAATTTTGATATATATATATATATCCTCGATGAACTCCATTGATTGATGTTCAATTTCCTCATTCTATAATCAGAAGAAAAAATGTCTTCACGTAGAAATTCTAGGAGGAAGTTGGAAAGGAGTGAACTTTAAAGAGGGATAGATTGAAGAGAGAAATTGTCTAATGCATTATTTAATCTCAAAATCAAAATAAATCACATGGTTGTTTTGATGAATTTCATGTCTGAGGAATATGATCTTGCGACTACAATTTTCAGGAGGAAGAGTAACAATTTGTAGTTTTTTAATATTTATCGCATTATATAGCCTTTCTCTATGTGTATAGTCTTTGTACTGAATATCTTCTTATTTCCAGCAGCTAACTCATCGTCGCATTCATGCTTTATTCTTTAGCCCGTGATGTTTCAGTCATCAATGTCCGAAGAAGTTTATGAACATGAAATGGCAGCGGTTAAACATATCACGGCTGGTAGATAATACAGTATGCTTATTTTCCATATGTTGCTTTATACGGTCTGCTTATTTTCTATATGTTGATAATCACAATATCTTATTATTATCAGATAATTCTATGGGTTTTTTTTTTTTCTGGCTTTTTATTTGTAATTTATAATGATCTTTCTATTCATGGTGGGAGACAGATTATTTTACTCAAGTATCAACGTTCATGGTGGAAGTGATTTCTTGTAATCGGCCATTGCAAGAAAATCCCACAGGACTTCAACTGTTTGGTGTACATTGATTGCTATAAAGAATATCCTCAGGAAAAAAATTGGAGGAAGGAAAAAAAAAAGTTGAACCAAACTGCTTCTGTTAGGATCATTGTATCTGCTGTAATGACCGATTAGATGTTTGATTTCAACATTAACAAATTAAAAAATCAATATAAAAAAAGTTATTGCAGCAGGATTATTGTCATACTGGTTGATAATCAAGCAACTACGCATTGTTACTTCTAAAGGTTTCTGATCTGTTTGTTTGAGCAGAAAGCTTTTTGTTGAAAATGTTTTCTACGTTTTTTGGCGTTTAGTGTAATGAAAAACGAAAATCAACAGAAAACTTTTCTGCTAGCAAAAAATAAGTCGATTTAGACAGAAAATATTTTACGAGAGAGAGATTTCAAGTCTGGTGTAACATCTTCATTGATGCCATGCTCCAATATTCAAAATACTAAGCACATGTATGTACCCTATTTGATAAAAAGACAAGGAGATCAATAGATAACTTTCCTGAGAATTTTTCCATCAGCAGCCAACCTGATTGAACATTCCATCCCAACTGTTCATCAGCAATATAGAGCCAACATGTCAATATCCATCTAAACATACAGCAATTATGAGCCATTATTCATAAATTTATAACTGAATTTTACCAATTCTCCACATAAAGTAACTTTCACTTGCATTAACTTGTAAACCAACATAAAATCAGTACAGATAATAAATAATGCCTTTAGGCATTATGAAAAATTCACTAAAGTAATCAAAAGCTGCAAACTGAGGTTAACACATGAGTTACTATCCGATTGGCTAAGAAGAAATTCACATCTCTGATAAGATGATTCCCCTTAAGCCTGGATTGGTATTTCTGATACCATTACGGACATCTAGAACCTTGGTGGTGAGTACCGGCATGAAAACCTTCAGTATATGCTGTGTTTTTTAATATTGTCTGCAATAAAAATATTCATTTGTTACTGCAAAGTATTTAACAAAAATGAAATTAATTGACTAAACATATGAAAATGAAACGATAGAGCAAAATGCAGTGATCATAACCAACCTGTTTAGCCTAATAATCAATACAAGGAAATTGCTTTCATGAAAAGTAAAGTATATCCATATCTTAATTAATGACAGCAAATGACAACAAAATAAGAACGTTGAGTGGCTAATATTTAAGCGGTAATGATTTGCAAGTGAACCATAACTCAGGCATCCAATCACTGTCATTCAATCTCCTCAACCTCTACCTCAATGGTTTGAAATCATCAGCTCGTTGGAGCGCTTTGCATAAACAATGCAAACAAATAATAACAATGAATCAAAAAAATAAAATTTCTTGGAAAGAAACCTAAATAAAAGCCTGTAGGGGGTCCAAAGTGAACAGTGATTATGAGAGTAATCAGAGAGACAAAACTACGATAATAAGCCAACAAAATCTGGGTTAACCGGAGAATGAGTAGCCGGGTGAGGGAGGAGCAAGTGGTTCAAGAAGAAAGAAACGTACAAATGTGTAGCATATCCCCCAAATCCCAAGAAGTTCTCCCTTTGACCTTGCGAAATGGGTCCTATTTATAGGCTTTTTCCTGGTACCAAAGAATCTCAAGTGGCCAAACAAGATGATGACATGTGTCCTTGAGGATCACATAAATATTTTGTCCTGAACCACCAGGCTAAGGTAGTCACATGTCCTCTGCATTTACTATGTACTATCTGTTTGGCACATACCTCAACAACTTCCATTTTGAACCTCAACAAGTGCACTTGCAACGATAGTACTTGTTGCTGCACCTACCTCCTCAGTTCGGCTTGGCCAAGACATGCATTCTCAAGACTTCATAACCTGCTATCAGCCATATTTGTATTTACCTCAAGGACTCCCCGAACCTTAACCACCTAACCACAAACTCCCCAACTTCTTAAAGCATAGGCCACAACAAGAGTTGTGCCTCGTACCAAGCCCAAGAGGACTTCCTTGGTCCTGCTTGTGCAACAAATGTAGGCTCATGACCTGGGTAAATGGAAAGGGAGTCCCATACTTTCAGGCTGCCCTACTCCCATATTCGCGAGGTCGCCGCAGTATAATGATATCTCTAGCTCTACTATCAGTTCCAACTAGTAAGCGTTGGGGCCAGCTATCAGTGCCGCCCTTTCCAGTATTATCGGTGCTGCCATTTGAACTTGTCGAGGGAAAAAGCAGCCGCAACAACTACGAACCCTTTGCAAGTGCGTCGGTATGTTCACAGGTGAACCACAAGAAGCTCTAATGAAAGTATTTCTGAGGCGAAGACGCACCAGGAATATCTTGGTCCATGCTAAATTGCTTGAGGACTCCATCGGGTTGATAAACCACACTTGGCATGCCCTCCTCATACCACTGGCAGATACCTAGGAAGGACCATGGCAGTTACAAGGAAAGAGTTAGCATGGATGTTGTCAAGAGAAAAGTCTTGGTGGCGAGCCTCATAAAAGAAGAAGGGAACTGCCACGCCTGTGAAAATCTGTGTATGGGCAAAAGACACACTCGTCCATGTCATTAATATAGTCCATGAACAACTTGGAACCAGCACCAGACCACTGAGTAATCCTGGGAAGGGCATTGTTTACTTGTCTCGTAACCACTTGTCCCTCTACATCTAAGACTGGGTTACCCTCTGCATCCAAAACCTCATCAGTAAAAAAGACTGCAAACTCTTTGGGAATAGGGCCTGTAGCGAGAAACTGCTCATAGAAGAAAGCTGTCAAGAACTGGGTGTGAACAAAACTCACATATATCATAATAGCCCATGGACCTCTCCATGTCTAAGTGGATCAAGTCAAGGCGAAAGTATAGATTCCCCAAGAAAAGGGGAACCAAAGGAATATGGAAACCACTTCAAAGTTTAACTGCCAAAGGAAACACCAAGGGGTTCGAACTCTCAGCTGGATTGCTGGGAAGAATGAAGAAAGAAAGGAAATAACTCACAAAAGCAGCTTGATACAAGTTGTCACAGTAACCCAGGCCAACTATAGAATTACGGTCCTCTTCGATGATGTTGCCAACCACCGGTTGGATGTCTTTGAAAAAGTACTTCAACCAGGAAATGTATATGATCTTGTCCCTTATCAGCCTATCCGCTAACAACTCGCCGGTTTTGGCATCATACCAAGAGTCGTGTTTCCTTGCCTCACGGAAGGCACTCTGAAAAACGATAACGGCAGTCTGTTCATTGACAGTTAGGGAGGCGGGGTCGAAAGTATGATCTCCATGGGAACTGAAATGCAACAACACCGAAACATCCACCAGAGTAGGGGCTGTTTCTCCCCAAGTAAGAGAGAAAGTATGAGTGTCTTAGCTCCAATAGGAAATGACGACGTCTGTGTTGGTTTGCACCTTGAGCATAAAAAGCTTCCTTGAAATCAGAATGACATTAAGGATTCGAACAACCCTCAGACGCTGCTCGAAGGCATCATCCTCAATAACATCATCTACCCAAAGAGGCCAGTCAACCAAGGGGCCGGAGTGAGTGCGATAGTAGATGTAAGAGTGGAAAAAGTCACCGCGTTCAACACGGAACCACAGTACTAAGGCAGGGTTGACCATGTCAGCCTCTTCTAGAGAAGCCTTAGCAAATGGGAATAGGGGCTCCTCCAAAGCGGGAACAGCGGGGACAAATGCGTCGTCGGCTGTCCAAAATGGGTCAGCAAGACTCCCAAAGAATGGAGCCCTCCTCCATTCGGCACGTGAAAGGACAGGTTTGTTGGCCAAGAATATGTTGCTTGCTATGTGGAAGGTGTGGAAAGAAGAGAAAACTTTGAAAGAACAAAGAAGTCTTTAAGAAAAGGAAAGTTTGAAAGGGGAGAAGTCAGGAGAGTGGGAAGATGAATGAGAAGTAGGGTACCAAGGAGCCCAAGGCAACTATTTATAAAATGGGCCAGGAAGATGGGCCTGGGGCACCTCCCCACGATCATCATGACCCGTCACAATCAATGCGCCTCCCCAAAGCATCATGACCCTACAAAAGTTAGAGTAGCTTTTTACTGAATAGACAAGACCCCAGGTCTATCGGCTGAAGTCATGCATGCGCGGGAAAATGGAGCGTGTTTCCCACGCGCGTAGGGGGCAAATGTAGGGGGGCATAAATTAAGTATGGATTTAAGTGCTGAGGTCACCTCTATTAGATGAGCAAGTATAATTAAAGAAGCATGGGCTAAAACCCAAGGGAAATGGGTCAACCAGCGGGCCGAACCAAGTCCGACCCGCCAAGGGTCCGAATAGGCTTCGTGCAGCGAAATTGCTAAGAAAAGTTGCGGAGGCAACACTTGCAGTGGTCAAGTTGCTAAGACACTTTACCTCAACGCCGCCATTTCCAATATTGTCGGCGCCACCATTTGAACTTTACCGAGGGAAAAAGCAGCCGCAGCAACTACGAACCCTCCGCAAACTACTTCTCGAGACAACGCTTGCAATGGTCAAGTTGCAGAAGAATTTACCTCAACTCAGCGTAGCCATTTCCAGTATTGTCGACGCCGCCATTTGCACTTGTCGAGGGACAAAGTTATCGCAGCAACTACAACTGCTGTAACTACCTACCAAGGGAAGATTCCACAAGGATAATAGCAGCCTTTGAGGGAGGCTTCCATTCCACAAGTAGAGACTAATACTTGGCGCTGATAACAAGTCTCAAAGCATTACCAGCCTAGGGTTGATAGCAGGCCCCAAAGGTCTAGCTTCACGCTGATAGCACGCTTCGAAGCTCAATAGCTTAGCACTGATATCAGGCCCTAACGATTACTGGTTAGAGTTGATAGCAGACCTAGAGAACCAAGGCGACCCCGCAAAGATAGGAGCAGGGCAGCTTGAAAGCAAGGGACATCCTTTCTATTTACCCAGGTTCTGAGAATGCATGTCTTAGACAAACCAAACTGAGAAGGTAGGTGCAGCAACAAGTACCATCATTGCAAGTCCACTTGCTAAGGTTTAAAATGGAAGTTGCTAAGGTATATGCCATACAGATAGTACAGTGACACGTGCTGAGGCACTTGTGCCAATTAAATAGTACATAGTACATGCAGAGGGACACGTGGCTACCTCAGCCTGGTGGTTCAGGACAATATATTCCATGTGATCTACAGGGACATGTGTCGTCACCTTATTTGGTCACTTGGTATTCTTTGGTACCAAGAAAAAGCCTATAAACATGACTCATTTCCCAAAGTCAAACGGAGAACTTCTTGGGATTTGGGGGATACGCTACCCATTTGTGCACTGTCATTTCTTTCTTCTTAAACCACTTGTTCCACCCTCACCCTCACCCTCACCCTCACCCTCACCCTCACCCGACTACTCATTCTTCGGTTAACCTAGATTTGTTGGCTCATTAACATAGTTTTGTCTCTCCGATTACTCTCATAATCACTATTCACTTCAGACGCCCTACACTCCCTCACCAAGAACTCTTGGATTGCAAAGGTATGTGCTATAGGGATATGGGTGGGATTTCTTTTTCTTCCTTTGTATTTTAATGGGCAATCTTAGCACTATGGAAAATATAGAACCAATCAATTTGTTTCTCAACAAATCTCACTTTTGGTGAGAAATGAAACCTATAAAATAAGATAGATTTCTTTCTCTCCATTTGTCATCTAATTTACAAACCAAACATGAAAAAAGAGTTATCTTTCTCTTCATTTATCATCAAATCACTCTATCCAAACAGACTGCCAATATATTCCCATGGTAAAAAATCTTAGAGGACCTGTGCATAATGACCATAAGACAATACCATTTACTTTTAACGTCAAATAAATTTTTGGCAACCAATCAACAAAGATATTCAATTAGATGGTCAAAGATCACTCAATAGTTGGTATTCTGACTTTGCATCTCCTAATAGGGCTAAATTAGCCCCAAATCCAAAGAAACTGAACTTCCTTTCCAAGGCTCATAAGGAATCCATTGCCACAAATGGAAATATGTAACAAACACTTCCATACTTCCAATGACATACTCAATATAAGAAGCACCGACATGGATACTGATGTGGATGCAGACACGGACACGGATGCGGATACAAGACACGGCGATTTCAAAAAAATAGAGACAAGGATACGGCAAGGACATAGCAATAAAATATGTTTCCATATATTTTTATTTGCTATCTAGATCAATATTACATCCACAAACAATCAATATTAACAAAAACTATAACTAATTCTTTTCTCTTTTTTTAAAAGCACTTTTAAATTAACACTTGCAGTTTATATCTTTTTTTTATAGATGATCTATTAAGTATTTAAATCTAAAAAAAAAAAATAATAAACATTCAACATTCATCAAAAGCACTAAATAAAATGGGAGAAAAGACAACTTGGCATGTCACCCTCACCCTCACCCTCACCCTCACCCTCACCCTCACCCTCACCCTCACCCTCACCCTCACCCTCACCCTCACCCTCACCCTCACCCTCACCCTCACCCTCACCCTCACCCTCACCCTCACCCTCACCCTCACCCTCACCCTCACCCTCACCCTCACCCTCACCCTCACCCTCACCCTCACCCTCACCCTCACCCTCACCCTCACCCTCACCCTCACCCTCACCCTCACCCTCACCCTCACCCTCACCCTCACCCTCACCCTCACCCTCACCCTCACCCTCACCCTCACCCTCACCCTCACCCTCACCCTCACCCTCACCCTCACCCTCACCCTCACCCTCACCCTCACCCTCACCCTCACCCTCACCCTCACCCTCACCCTCACCCTCACCCTCACCCTCACCCTCACCCTCACCCTCACCCTCACCCTCACCCTCACCCTCACCCTCACCCTCACCCTCACCCTCACCCTCACCCTCACCCTCACCCTCACCCTCACCCTCACCCTCACCCTCACCCTCACCCTCACCCTCACCCTCACCCTCACCCTCACCCTCACCCTCACCCTCACCCTCACCCTCACCCTCACCCTCACCCTCACCCTCACCCTCACCCTCACCCTCACCCTCACCCTCACCCTCACCCTCACCCTCACCCTCACCCTCACCCTCACCCTCACCCTCACCCTCACCCTCACCCTCACCCTCACCCTCACCCTCACCCTCACCCTCACCCTCACCCTCACCCTCACCCTCACCCTCACCCTCACCCTCACCCTCACCCTCACCCTCACCCTCACCCTCACCCTCACCCTCACCCTCACCCTCACCCTCACCCTCACCCTCACCCTCACCCTCACCCTCACCCTCACCCTCACCCTCACCCTCACCCTCACCCTCACCCTCACCCTCACCCTCACCCTCACCCTCACCCTCACCCTCACCCAACTACTCATACTCAGGTTAACCTAGATTTGTTGGCTTATTAACATAGTTTTGTGTCTCCGATTACTCTCATAATCACTGTTCACTTCGGACTCCCTAAACTCCCTCACCAAGAACTCTCTGATTGCAAAGGTATGTGCTATAGGGATATGAGTGGGATTTCTTTTTCTTCCTTTGTATTTTAATGGGCAATCTTAGTACTATGGAAAATATAGAATCAATCAATTTGTTTCTCAACAAATCTCACTTTTGGTGAGAAATGAAACCTATAAAATAAGATAGATTTCTTTCTCTCCATTTGTCACCTAATTTACAAACCAAACATGAAAAAAGAGTTATCTTTCTCTTCATTTATCATCAAATCACTCTATCCAAACAGACTGTCAATATATTCCCATGGTAAAATATCTTAGAGGACCTGTGCATAATGACCATAAGACAATACCATTTACTTTTAACATCAAATAAATTTTTGGCAACCAATCAATAAAGATATTCAATTAGATGGTCAAAGATCACTCAATAGTTGGTATTCTGACTTTGCATCTCCTAATAGGGCTATATTAGCCCCAAGTCCAAAGAAACTGAACTTCCTTTCCAAGGCTCATAAGGAATCCATTGCCTCAAATGGAAATATGTAACAAACACTTCCATACTTCCAATGACATACTCACAATCTAAGAAGCACCGACATGGATACTGATGTGGACACGGATGCGGACACAAGACACGGCGATTTCAAAAAAATGGAGACAAGGATACGGCAGGGACATAGCAATAAAATATGTTTCCATATATTTTTATTTGTTATCTAGATCAATATTACATCCACAAACAATCAATACTAACAAAAACTAACACTAATTCTTTTCTTTTTTTTAAAAGCACTTTTAAATTAACATTTGCAGTTTATATCTTTTTTTATAGATGATCTATTAAGTATTTAAATCTAAGAAAAAAATAATAAACATTCAACATTCATCAAAAGCACTAAATAAAATGGGAGAAAAGACAACTTGGCATGTCCTTAGTATGTTTCTGAAGTGTTCCCAGCATGTCCCTTGAAAATAAATTAATTAAATAATGGGACACGCCATGTGGTGTGTCCCATACATGTCCCCAAAGTGTCTGCGTGTCCCCAAAGTGTCCATGTGTCTGACATGGATACGGCACTTGTTTTGAAGTGTTGGTGCTTCATAGCTCACAGTTTAAAAGGAGTTAGAAGGAAAGAAAGAGAAGAAAAACTCACCGCCAGGTTAATCAAATCCAAGCTAAGATGTTTCTTGACACTGTCTGATACCAAAGCACCAAGCTGTTCCCCATGTTCCTTAATTGTCTCCCCTTTGATCTGTGCATTATTTCCTTTCTCAGCCCTAGACCAGAAAAGAGTTTTTTGGTTGCAATGAAAGAGCATACATTTTACTTACCTCCGAGAGAATTACTGCTGATGTTTTCTCAAGTATTTCTTCAACAAATTTTTCAGGATCAGTGAAAGTACGTGACAAATTCATGTTGGTAGATTTCTCCTTTTGTGCATCATTGAATGGTTTAGCAGCTTTTGCTGCATCAAAGAGAGAAGAATTTGTTAACAACTACAACCATTAAATACAGGTCCGTCATGATCAGCTATAGGTCTAGGAGCTGCATCAATGCAAAATTATGAACCAACTTCTTTCAAAAAAAAATTTTATGCAATAGTCATTTACTCAATTAGAGATCTTAACTTATAATTTGCACTCAAACAGAGCAAGATGAGAGTTTTTTAAATGCCTTTTCTCACTGAAAATTTCCCATGATCAGAGTGGTTTGTCTTAATCACATAAATCTAAAACAAGCCTTATTAACAGTATTTTAGAAATTAAACAGTAACAGAAGAAAATAGAAATATTAGTGATATGAAAGTCTTTTAAAGTCCAGTGACTGTTTTTCTTCATATGCTTCAGCCAAGATATTTATATGCAAATAAGCAAGAACCACAATTACGACATGTATCAAAATCATTTCTCACAAAGTATCCTACCATTTTTATCAAGAAAATGGCACAGATGTTGATTTTTATATAATCAAAACATTGGTTCACCAAATGAGTTCTAGAGTTGGGTTTAGTATATAGATTTTAGAAGTCAAAGTTCTTTTTTTCCTATTCAAAGTCCAAGTTATAGTTGGCGTAGGAGATCTTTAAAATCTATACAAAATAGAGGTCAGATTTTAGATAATTAACAGAACTCTTGGAACTTCTTTAGAATTGTGTGATACAATTCTAGCCCTCAGCGAGATTGTTACGGACTACGAGTATCGGGTGTGGGTGTGTATCCAAACATCATACCTTCATAAATTTAAATCTTGGGATTTTGAAATACATATCCAAAATTAGATATATGTACAGAGACACATCATATGCACATATATATTGCATATTATATAATATTCTAGGATGAGATGTTGTAAATTATGTAGAAACATACTAGAAATTAAATATGATTCATGAAAAATATGAAATTTTTGTATCTAATTCATGTAAGAGGCTAAAAATATTGCTTTACTGACAAATGTGAGTTTCTTCTTCTTCATGTATTGGCACAAATTAAAGTATCTGAGTGTCTAAATTAGGTAGAGTGTCGGACACATATCTCATACCTTTACCCATGTCATATCCGGTGGACATGAGTACTGTGAGAGAAATAGAAGAGTCCATATCACACAAGTTATGGAATCTTAGGTGTGATACCTAGAGGTTTTTTTTATTGTTTCTAATTCTCTTGCAATTTTAGGCCTTTTAAAGCCTCAAATAAATCTACACTGCATCTGTTTCACTCTTTAAACCCCTGTAGACAAGCCTTATCATTCTCCATTGAACCAACCAAGACACGAGAGAACCTTAGATCTGCAAAAATAATGTTCTTGGGTGCTGTTTGAAGCACCCAAAACAGGCCCTCTGTATTGTTCTTTCCACTTAAATAATTTCTCCAAACCAATGAAGCACGAATATTCCAAAAAAGGTGTTATACGAGTATCGGATACATATAAGATACGGATAAGTGTCCGATATGGCGGAATACATATCGGATAAGGCAAATAAATATCCAATTTTTTATTTTATTTTTTAAATTTCGGATACGGCAGGATACGTGAGGGGTACACCAAATAAATATTCAATTTTTTTTCTAATTTTTTATTTTTTATATTTTAATATGCCAAATAAGTATATAATTTTTTTATTATTTTATATTTATATTTTTTCAATGGTCAATACTCTCTGCTCTCGTTCTTCTTCTCTTTTTTTTTCTTTTTTTTTCTTTTTCCCTTATCTATTAGGCTAATTTATTTAATTTTTTTTCCACTTTTTTTTTTCCCCTACATTGTTTTAATGTACACTGTTTTAATGTAAGTATTTCTTTACCAAATTTTAATTTTAGGAACTTTAATGTTAGTATTTCTTTATTTAATAGGAATCTCTCTCTTTATTTATTAATTTGCTTCAGGTTTTATTTTCATGCATATTACATTATTAAAATTATAAAAAATAAATTTTTTTATTTTACGAACGTATCCTCACCGTACCTGTATCCTTCTTGTACAGATTTTGGCGTATCACCATATCCGTATCACCGTATCCATATCCGTATCCGTGCTTCCTAACTCCAAACCCTACCCATTGCTCCATAGAAATAGAAACAGTAACACAAAAGCCAAAATTTGAACCACCATTCCAGACCCAGAACCAATGAAAATCAGTCCTAAAGCTTTCTGCAGCTGTCCCACATTATTTTGGGCTCACTACTATTAGGGAGTGTTTCCCACACTCATCCTACATCACAATGTCTAGTCTTTTCTTTTCTTTTCTTTTTTGGATCAAACACAATGTGTAGTCCTTGGTTCATTGAAGTTCGTCAATCCTATGGTTTTTGACAGTTCAGTCAATGAATCAGCACATTACCAAATGGGAAGAATATCATATTATATGGTCATCATGTTACATGGACTTGGGTACGGGTGTTGGGTGCGGATATGTATCTAGAGGTCAGACTCATTAAATCTTAAATTTAAGGGTACGCGGACTCGACAAAAAAATATCATATTTTTATATTTTTAATCTAATATGTGAGATAAAATGGTACTATATGTAACTTGCAGTGTCAAAATGACATTTATAGTAATTATACAATAATATGTACATACGATAATTGTGTTATATACAATTATATAAGAAGTATCCGTTGAAAAGTATCCGACACATATCCTATACCCTTGTCCGAGTGTCGGGTGTCTAACACGGGTATTTGATCTATTTTGAAGAGTCCGTGTAACAACATATGATAGATTGTGATAGGATTACAGGATGGATATGTGAATGTTAAAATGTCAAATATACAAAAAAATTAACCCTAAGAATGTTAAAACCTTGTCGTTATGATATTCAAAGTGATATAGTCAGACGTGACGGACGTTAGATACGAGAGAATGTTATAGTGATGTAAACATGCTGATTGGTCTCAAGGTCTGCAAGCCATAGAGAATGTTATAGTGATGTAAACATGCTGATTGGTCTCAAGGTCTGCAAGCCATATCACTGGGTTATCAGATAAATTAGTCAAGTATAGCTGGGTGTCAACAGGTATTTTCTGATCTGGGTATTTTTCTAATGTTTTGGATAACAAAAAATAAGATTTTATCCATCATATATAGCCTAAAAAGGCAAGTGATAGAGGATAGAAATCTATATTTAACCTGATGATGAAAGAAAGAAGAGAAGAGAAGAGAAGAGAAAATTTCAAATAGCAATCATACACTTCAACATGATAAGGACAGCCCTTAAGAAAACAGTCATTCCCAACCACGGGTGATCAAGTACTACAATCAATACCTCGATCAAACTACTTCCCAAGCCAGCCATGGGCTACTTCCGGGAAATCTATTTCATGTAGCTTGGCAATGAAATTTTGAGTTATGGGAACAGGACCTTCATTAAGGGATGTTGCTTCTCTCTTTGCAGTTAACCCACCTATCCTGACCTTAGGAAGGAATGGAACAAGGGATGACTTTTCCTCTCTTAGTAATAGTAGTAAGTAGTCTCCCAAACGATTTGATGGTGGCAAGGTGTGTAGCCTCTTGATATCTGGGGGTAACAGACAAAGTCCCCACGATAAGTAATCGAAAAGCTGAGAGAGGCCATCTCAAAAATACAAGGGATTTTCCAGACTTCCTTAAGAGGGAGGAAGGATCCTTCCTAGTTCCTACCAAGTTTATTGACCAAGCAGAGCCCGCAATATCAATATTAAGCCTGAATCTATCCTTTACTAAATTGGGATGTGTGTTCATCCTAAAGTATATCAGTGGCTCTCTAAGGCCTCACTCGTACTTGATTAAAGGAGTGTGGTTCTTCCATACTTGTCTCACCTCACAGGAGTGACCCTTTGAGATTTGAGACACCAAGACTTCTATGAAAGTAACACGTTGTTAGTCCTTTTGCAAATTGCAACCCCATACCAAAATAGATACTAAATACTGATATTTTTAAAATAAATAAAGAAAAGGAAAAAAGAAGAGGCTCTTGAAATAAGGTATGATGCATATCAAGTTGGTTGCCATAGTAGAGAACAAGAAGGCCTAACGCTAAAAAAGATGACAGAATTGTGTATCAAAACTCTGAAAGCACCTTATGCCAACTGAAGTATGGGTCACTTTAGTTGCAATAAATAATCAAACAGACTCATTTTAAATGCCAAGTGATCAAGGTACAATAATTCCATTCCGGAAAGAACTAAAATGAGTGTGCATTGTAGAAATTAATCTAAGGAAAATATAACAGTAAAAGTAAATTACAAAATCACCAAAAGAACTTTAACTGAACTAATAAAGTCAAGTTGATTTTATTCACAAAACACGTGATTTTTTTTTTAAGTCAAGTTGATCTAAGGCACACTAATTCCATACCTGTAACAGCTGTGGACTTATTATTCACAGACACGTGATTTTTTTCAGGAGCTTGCAAGGGAGCTGCTTTTGGTGGCTCTTCTGGCAGGGGTATGGCATCAGATGGAACAAGAGCTGCTAGATCAGGAGGTTGATCCTTCCCTACTGAAGGGTTAGCCTTCAAGAAAGAAAATTCTTTTTGAATCACAAAATCCACTGAACAATAAGTAGGTGAATTCACTCAGGAAAACAAAATTCAAATTACCTCCAGGTCAACATAGGCTGGATTTTTTCCTATTGATTTTAGAAACTTGTCAAGATTGTGGGCATTAAGAGCTGAAACCAGCAAAATTATGAGACAAATTATTAGGTTGTGCTGTTACTCTCACAACAATGAACAGACTAAAAGTGGATTTTAAAGAGTCAAATTATCAACCAAATGCTGCCTACCAAAAACAGCAGATCTGTGAAAGTGTCATGTGGGAAATATAAAAACCAACAGAACAAGAGCACTTATAAACCAAAAAAGAGAAAAACAAAAATTGAAGCTTTCAAAGAGAAGAACATTCTATATAAAGTATTTTTCACACTTGTACACCGAATGAAATCAACAGTCTTTAGAATTTCACAGTTGAAATAGGTAACACAAATAGATCCAACCAAAGTCTCAATCAGAAAAGGTAAAGAACATATCCCATAGTATCGAACACCAATACAAATAACCAAAATAAATACAGTTTTCTTAAGAAACCCTTCTCACTTACAGATTGATGTATCATTAGATAGCGGGTGGAAAAAGCAGCACTCTTGATCTTTAAACCCTTTATCCAACATCAAGGAGACATTCCTTCACAAAAGAGAAGCAAGGGGGGGAAAATAGGGTTTACAAATGATATTACAACAAATGGATATTACAACGAAATTACAAATGATCTCAAAAAACGGCCTATAGAAGATTAGGAAGCATACCGGGCTGAATCATTCACTAGTGCAAATGGAGTCACACAACCCAGAGGCACCTTAAAAATAATAAAGACAGAAGCAGTGTCAAGGAGTGAATCTCAGTCAAATCTATTAACATATACATATATTACTGTTCAAGCAGAATGATATTATTGTTCAGGCAGCAGAATGATACTATATTGTTCACACAAATTAATTGCCCATAGAAATATTCTTCCTCCCAAGAATGACTGGATACAAAATAACATGATGGCACAAACCCCCAAGACCAAATTGAAAAGAAGATTTCCCAATGCAAAAATTAGAAGAACAACCATGCTTTATGCTCCAAAATCCAATGTAGTCAAATATATCCATTAAAGAAGCAAAGCTACTGAGATAGATCAGTTACAAAGCACACAAGCAAGAAAGAGACATGAATTCATGAGTGCCAACAAAATATAAGATGAGAATTTTCACCACAATGATTTCCAAAAGACAGAAGTGAAAGGCTAAAAGAGGTGGAGTTTGAAGCAGCACCAAGCATCATGATTACCTTTGACCAAAAAATAGGGCCAAATAAAGAAGGCATAATAGAAGAGGTGAAGTTTACATATGAACCTTTATTTGTCTTCTTGCATCAAGGTGTAAGAGCATTTTACTACCCCCAAAAGAAAGAAAAAAAAAAAAGAAAAAGGAATATATAACAAAGTTCAAGGAATGCTAGAAGGCACCCAACTCTCAAACAGAGACGCACAAACCAAACCTAGCCTAAGAAAATCCACTCACAACTTAAGTGGTTAACCTGGGAAAGAAAACACCAAGACCAAGCCTACAAAACAAAATTTCACAACCAAAGGGGCTAGGCCATGAACAAACTAAGCATCCTCTCACAACTCAACAGCTTAGGTCACAAAAGAAAGTAAAGAGACTGTTGCACCTCTATTATTGGGTGCTTTTGCCCATATTTCTTTTGGAGAATAGAAAACATAGCACAACATTCTCTCTAGTTGCATTTAGCTAGCTGACCTTATCTGCAAGCTTTTTCTTGTTGTCCTCTTGTGATGATGGTGTGCATATTGATGCTAAGATACATAATTACCCTTCAATTTCCAATCACTAATATCTCCTTTGAAATTGAAGAAAATTTTTATTTCTCTTTCCTTTTTGTGATGTCTTTCACCACCCACTATTCTTTTGCTAGAGGTCAACTGGTCCCTCTCACTCTCACTCATGTTGTCGCTGATGGAGTTCACTGATAGTAGAACCATGCTGATTAGTCTTTGGTGCCCACTAATTCTGTCTCTGGTTGCTCTCTCATGCTAAAACTATAAATAAGAGTGCATGAGGGCTCCATGGATAGAAGCAACTAGGGAATAGTTTTTCCTTTTTCATTTTGACCGCCGAATCATTTTTTCAAAAATACAATCTAGGACCTAAACAAGTCTTGGCCATGTTTGAAGGGTGGATCATGTCTCTCATGTGTCTGCCTTAATAAATATATAATAAAATAAAATAATTTGGAGAAATCACATGGCATGTCTGACACATGTCTGAGAAATTGTGTCTGACATCTAGGGATGCACAAAAACCCGAACCATCTGACTAAACTGATCAATCTGAACCAAAAAATCAACCCACGGACGGTTTCTTAATAAACAACGGTCGGTAGCGGGTGCTTTCAGTGAAAAAATCAATTTTTTCGGACGGGCCACAGTTTCATATACGTGGTAACCGAAAAGACCAATCTGACCTATATTTATTAAATTATATATAATTTTACTCGTGTATGCGTGTTATTGACTTTCGTATTACCCTTTATCTCTAAGCATTATAACCTGACAAGTGATAATGACTTTTAGCACTTGATTTTGATAGACTACTCTAGGGAGTAGGTTACATAGAGGTGATAGGATTCTTAGAACTAGTGCCTGACATTGATGTCCTTTTCTCTGCCTCTCTCTCGTTGTATCTCCTTCCTTCACATGTTCTGCTGTGACTTTCTCTTTTTTTGTATCTTCCTCCCTCGCGCGCCTCTTCAGCTCTCTCACTCTCACTAACATGCATTCACCCCTTCTCTCTCTCTCTCTCTCTCTCTCTCTCTCTCACACACACACACACACACACACACACACACCTGTTCTGCTCTCCCTCTTTTTTGGTATCTTCCTCACACCACATCAGCTTTTTCTCACAGTCTCTCTCTCCCTCTTCCCCTAAAATCCTTCATCTACTTCCATTATATCGATTTCCAGAACCTATCCATGACCGTGACTCAATGATGAAGAGTCAAACCCTAAACTAGGTTATTCCTAGTAAATTGATGTTGAACAACGGCCATGAACACTCGAAAGCACTTAGCAAAATAGATAAACACTCATTGATTCTTGGTGAGTGTTAATCATTCCCTAATACAGCCTTTATTTTTTAGTATTATGTCTTATCTTCTTCTCCAATTGACATTGAAACCCCTTTCTCTTTTGCTATTTTTTGTGTTTATGATTTTCCGTGACCCGTGCAACCCGACCAAGACCAACCACAAAACCGAATGTCACTTACGGTCGATTTCGAACAGCACATCAATCAAAAGCGGTTGATTATATCTTCAACCCATCATGGTCGGGTCAGTTGGCAAATTGATAGGAAAACCGATCCAATCTAGTGTTATTAGAGGCGATAGGCGCACCAAGGCACCAAGGTCTCCTGGGGCCTACGCTCAAGGCACAAGGCAAGGGCCAGGCTTCACCGAAGTGAGGCGCATCTTGTACGGAAAAAAAATGTATAATTTAATATAAGTAAATAATTTAGGATTCAACATAAACAAATGAAATGTTAAACATTTAGTATTTTTTGGAGATTAGGTATTAGGGCTAATTTTTCTTATATCATTGATTTGGGATTGAATGCCCAATATATTGGCATCTGTAATAAGAGTAGGGATCTTCTATAGCTGCACCATATTAAATCAATGGTCAGATTTTAAACAAAACCTAATAAAGCAACAATAAAAAATAAATAAACCTAAAAAAACAAAAAAAAAAAAAAAAAAAAAAAAAAAAAAAAACCCTCAAGACGCAAACCTTAAGCCAATCAGGCACCTTATCACAGTCATCTAGCCTGGAACACTATAAGGCACAAACCTTGAGCCTGGACAGGACTTGGGCCTAGGCACACACCTAGGCGCGCCTTATTGAAGTCGCCTAGCCTGGAACACTACAAAGCGCAAACCTTGGGCTTAGATGGGACTCAAGCCTAATCGCACGCCTAGGTGCGCCTTTAATAACACTGACCCAATCGGACCCGTGAATAACCCTACTGACACCTTTCAGACAACATCATAGCTACCAAAATGGTGTCCATGCTTCTTAGCTTTAGTGTGTAGTTTATCTCAGAAACAACATTAGAAAGCAGGGACAACATATTTCTTTTTTACTCATCTTTTTTATTTACTTTTTTATTTTATTTTTTTTGGGTGGAGGTAGGGGGTTACTGCCTTGCCAGGCTATTGCAAGCAAAGAAAGAGAGCATATGACATTCTCAGTTGATTAAATAAAACATCACAGGCACAAAGAATTAATAGCATATACGTGCCTGAAGTATTTCTGGTAGTGCTTCTTCAGGAGCCATTCTTAAACCTGCTTTTCCCAAACCAAGCCTCTGAGATAGAACTGCTCAGCTTCAATGCCACAAATAACTCCCATAAACATCTAAGATAGTAAAAAGCTAAAAGGCTACAAACCAATCAAATGAACATATAGAAAACCAAGTCTAGTAACATCTATCTAAGTCAATTGAGCAGCTTGAGCTTTAGAATTTAGATGAAGCAATCAGAGTTAGGGAAAAATATTTATTACCCTTCAGATCTACTTTGGTATCTGCCAAAGCAGAAACAATGTAAAACCTATGTTTCTTATCCTGCACATAAAAGCAAGTGCAAGTATGAAGTATCAAGCCATTAATATAGAGGAAAAGAAGGTGCGGATATTATTGTCAGAAGGGAGATGGAAGTGTGAGGGGTAACAAAATAGAGTGCCTTTCCAACTCTTGAAATATCATACCTTTAAGAATAGATTTTTACTCAATGCGCCTTTCATATGACCAACATATTTAGCCTGATGGTAAACAAATGAAGTTGCTTTACAGAACACACAAAAAACAGGAGAGAGAGAGAGAGAGAGAGAGAGAGAGAGAAATTGTTTTTTTATTACCTGAGCTTCAACTGTCAAAACAATAGGATGATCATATTGGATAAAATCAACTTGAAGCTCCTAAACATCACCAATGGAAAACAAGGTGTTTCAAGAGAATAGAATATACAAAATCTCACTTATCAATAATTCATATCAAGAGTAAATATCAAGTTATTCACCAAAACACACATTTGGATTCCAAATATAAAATAATTCTTCTGCTAAGAAAATTAAGATAGGTTACTATCTGGTCAAATTACATCACCATCACATAAACAACTAATGGTAGCCCCTAAAGCTCCATTTTTTAGCCGTAAAATATTTTCATGTACAATGATTTTGCTCAAAAAAAAAATATTTTTTTTTGTTTTCCTTACGGTGTTTAGTTAGCATTTAAAATATTTTCTACAACAAAAACTTTAATAAAGAACCAATTATAAAGTAAATTTTAAAAAGAATAAAGGAAAATGATTTTCATACATAATTTTCATGTAGAATTGAACACAAATGATGTGGCAATGTCATTCTTACAATTATGAACTATAGTAATGAGAATTTTAACTTTAAATAAGTGGATATGAATGTGACATGTCATTATATATACAATTTTTGTATACAAATTCTATTTGTATATCATTACTAAAGAACAAAAGAAGACAAGGATTGAATGTAAGAAAAATAACAAATCCAAAACCTAATTTCGATCAATTGCTCAACCATAATATATGTATATTTATAGGTGTGTATATACATATGTAGAGAGAGAGAGAGAGAGAGAACAACAACGTTCAATGTGTATGAAAGTAGTGAAACTTGATATATACTACAAGTAGTGTCCGTGATGAGAAATAAAAATAACTACGGAATTTTTAAATGTAAATCATTTTACACTTTATGATGTAAAATATTTTACTCGCTTTTTGGCCAACCAAACGACAGGAAATAGGTAAAATAAAATATTTTACAACGAAACAAACAGAGCCTAAATGTAAGTTATAGATTGGTTCCTGTGTTACCAGAAAACACCAATACCCTAACGAATTACGTAGTGAATTACGTAGTGGTATGCACGTTTCGAAACATGATACACTTGCATCCCAAAATGATAAATTTAGTGATCCGAAACGATCCCAAAAAAATTTCCCAATATATTTCCTTAAATGTTACCTTAAGAGGAAAACAATCAAATATAATGAACTAAAATCTAAGTTGACTTAAATTTTGACAAGACAAAAATACCAAAAATGAAATATATATATATATATATATATATATTGATAGATGCCTAATAATTAGAAGAAAATTACTCTAAAAGTACCTTAAATTCTTAAATGTAATATATACAAAGTGTACCCATATCGTACTTCATTTTAGAGCATGGAGCATAACACGTTCACATTCCCCGTTCCACATACCGGAACAATCCACGTTCCAGGTAACATAGATTGGTTCCAATACAATATATATCCAAAACAAGTCACCTTCAACAAGATGCTATGATATTCAACAAACCCCGTGTTTCCATTTCCAAATATTAAAAACTTCATTATTTCATTCAACTGAACAAATGTTAGTTTTAGGCCACAGAGGAAGGGGAAAAATGAGCAAGTTTTGTTGCAAGTGAGAGGCAAATCACGGTCATCCCTTTAATTGTAAGAAAAATTATGAAAATCATGGAAAGAAGAAAAAGAGCAAATTTGGAATTTCACATGAAACATATTTAGGACATTAAGAATTAAAGATTTAGAATTATTTTGAGTCTTCATGTCATTATAGTAGGTTTTAGTAATTAAGGGTACACTAGTAATTCCAATAATCATAGGACATGGGTTGCAGGGGTTTGCCCGTGAATTTTATGTTGGGTCAAGTTATTAAATGGGTTAATATATATGGGTTTTATTATGTCTAAAATAATCTTAGTAGTCAAAAATCCAAATTTCCTATTTTGATAGTGAAGTAGAATTAGAAGTCATTAAAGTTTCCTATTATGATTGAAGTATAATTGGAAGTCATAGTTGGTCTAAAATATTAGTAGTTGCTAAATATTTTTAATTTCTAAATTTAAGTTATAGTCCTTATAGAATTAAGAGAGTCTTTACCCTATAAATAGATGTGTAATCTCAATGATTCGAAAAGAGTTATTATTATGAAAATTTGAGATTATGTTTGTGTGATTGGCCCATACTTAGTGAGGGTGAAGCATTTCTCTCTCTCTCTCTCTCTCCAGCAAGGTTACTGTTCGCAATGCTTAGAATAGCCACCCAACATCCCCTAAACACTTGTATTTTCATTCCCAAAACCCTACCCTTTTACAAACCCTTAAACTTCTATTTTTTCAAATACTTTTGCAACCACAAAATCTAGCCCTATACAGTCTATTGTTACTGCTTCTAGTATACTTAACTCGGCTCACTACTTGTAGGGAAGTAATCCCTTCTCGTCCTACATCAGTTTGGAATCAGAACTTCAAGATCCTACCTTGTTCATTACCAATCTTTTGATAAAATTTCTTTTTTTATTACAATGTTGACAAGCATTGAATTAAATTGAAGGTTTGAAGCCTTGTCAATAAATCATAGAGCTACTAAGAAAGATGTTGCGATATTAAAAGAGGATTTTGCGATAATTAAGGAGGATGTTGCAACAATAAAGAGTGATGTGCATACTATCAAGACAACTTTGAACGGATTGAAAGCTTTCACGGAAAGATTGTTGGTTGCTATTTTACAGAAGACTAATATACAGGAGTAAAACGTTGATAGTGTAGAATATTTTGAAGAACTATGAAAGAGCAAGATGAACATGTTGCTAATATTGAGAATATTGAAGAAATGAAGGCAAAAATTAATTTGTTTACTAAAGAAAGCATGACAAATCGTCATGATCAAGGTTCTAAAGCCAAGGACGCAGAAAATGATGGAAATGAACTTTCTGCTCTTAACAAGAAAATGAAGTTCACATTGAGTTTATTATTCTTAATAAATTTGATGTGGTATTGATGACAATATTGAACTTTTTGATTTTCTCATCGTTCGTTCAAAACAATCAATTTGAATGGTTGCAAGTGCAAGATTCCATAATCCTCATACTTCAACATTACAAAACTCAGGGTCAAGCTTTTTCAAATGCAGAGGAGAATGATAAAGATCATGGAAAGAAGAAAAAGAGCAAATTTGAAATTTCACATGAAGCACATTTAGGACATCAAGAATTAAAGATTTGAAATTATTTTGAGTCTTCATGTCATTATAGTAGGTTTTAGTAATTAAAGGTGCAATGGTAATTCCAATAATTGTAGGACATGGGCTGTAGGGGTTACCTATAGATTTTATTTTGGATCAAGTTATTAAATGGGTTATTATATATGGGTTTTATCATGTCTAAAATAATCTTAATGGTCAAAAGTCTAAATTTCCTTATTTTGATATTGAAGTAGAATTAGAAATCATTAAAGTTTCGTATTATGATTGAATTAGAATTGGAAGTCATAGTTAGTTTAGAATATTAGTAATTGCTAAATATTTTTAATTTCTAAATTTGAGTTATAGTCCTTATAGAATTAGGAGAGTCTTTACCCTATAAATAGATGTGTAATCTCAATGATTCGAGAAGATTTATTATTATGAAAATTTGAGATTGTATTTCTGTTATTGGCCTATCCCTTGTGAGGGTGAAGCTCTCTCTCTCTCTCTCTCCAGCAAGGTTACTATTTGCAATGCTTAGAAAAGTCAACCAACAGCCCCTAAACACTTGTGTTTTCATTTCCAAAGTCCTACCTTTTTACAAACCCTTAAACTCTTATTTTTTCAAATAGTTTTGTAGCCACAAAATTTCACAAAATCTAACCCTATAAGTCTATTGTTGCTACTGCTAGTGTACTTAACCAGGCTCACTACTAGTAGGAAAGTAATCCCTACTTGTCCTACATCACAAATTCAGCTATAAGATAATATTTGATTTGCTGGAAATTGGAATGATTTTATGAAGGAATGGAAAGGCCATTCTCCTAAATTGGTGAATAGTGATTCCATTTGCAATGTAAATTATTTTCCTTTTTACCTAACCAACATGAGAATGGATATTTCTCATACTTCGGGTGTTTCCAAAATACCCCTATAGTTGGTGTTTATGTAAAAATTATATTAAGAGGAGAATGGGACTTGAAACTGAGATCATGGATTTGATTAAGAATACACTTAGCACTTGAACAACGCATTTTATGTGTGCATTCCTCTTTGTCACTATTCTTATACTATTACTATTTTCCGAATTGCACACGCATCGCTTGTGCGGACCGCTAGTTCCAATTAATCAAACATTGCATTACAGTTATCTCCAGTCCATGGCTTGGATGAAACCGATTATAGAATCAACAACTTTGCTCAATTAATCTAGAGTATTAAACATCTACAACCATCTATTATTATGATATTCAAAGTTCTTCATGAGTTTCTTGTCTTGTAACTATGGATTTGTAATCATATGCACTAGTCATCAATATCAATTCAGACAGTTTGTACTCCATTCTAAAATAGCATACAAATAGAAGTCAATTAAAACCAAAAACCCAAAAAAATATATATATATATATATATATCAAATTGAAAGAGTAAAAAGTAGGAGACACATAAATGGGGATTATCATATAAACGATGAAAAATATAAAACAGAGGCAAAGAAATGCAGAGAAAGAAAAACCTGTAAACGCGCGAGAAACTGATCCTTCGAATAGCCCATCTCTGTCTCTCTGTGATTTGCGAGCTCCGAAGACACACTGGATCGGCCTCCTATAGGTCACCACTTGCAGGAACTTTCGAATGGCAGCCTCGGGAGACCATATACACCCATAAAGTTCTCTACACAGATTAGGGCTGGTTTGGGTGTGGAAAAAAATAATTTATTTTTTTACTTTTTTGTTTTTCTAAAATAAAAACTATGTTGATAAAATAGGAGTATTTTAAATATTTTATCAAAAGATAATTTAGGCATTTTATGAACGAGTTTAATGGTAAAAATATCATTTCTTTGATGATTTATTTTATTACAAGGTTAATTTTGATTTTTGTTTGTAATTTTTTCAAAATTAAAAAAAAAAATAATTTAATCTTGCAATAATTTATTTATTTTCTTTTTCTAAGGGGAGTAAGAGAAAAAAAGACGCGTCACACAATGGTAACTTAATGCATTTGATAAATTCTTTAACTGGTTAATTTTTGTCATGGAAAAAATTCAAGTGAGTTGTGGAAATTATTTTCTTATTTTTTCATACTTGTTGAACATTTTAAATTTAAAAGAAAAAAAAAATACTATTTCGATCCTTCTTGAAAAATAAAAACAGTTAATAAAATTTTAAAATATATATATTGAATTGTGTTTCAACAGTAGTGATTGCAAAATTACCCGACCTAATTATATTTGTCCCGATCCGATTTTAATAAAAAAAAGTTTAGGAGAGTATTGATAAAGTAGGGTAAAGTATATGAATAAGTAAGTCAAACTGTCAAGATTATGATAAAATATGAAATCGCATCATTAAAATAATTGAGGTTAAAGCCAGTAATTTGCACGCAAAACTCGAAAAAAATTTGACCCGTTGCCATCCTTATTCAAAAGTTCATTTCTGAATTTTTTTGGGCCAAGCCTAAGCTCTAATCTCTTTGGGGGCAAAAGGACACACCTCTATTGAAATTCATTAAACTAATTATCTATTAAAATATAACACATGTCACTCATTTAACAACCAATCCATTGAATATCATAAATTTCTCTATCTCATCACCATGACCTGTTGTCACCACTGTCGGCGATTTTTTTGGCCAGCGACGATGACCAGCGACTTTTTCGGTGTCGTTGACCTTTTCCAACATATCCTTATTGCCAAAATTTTTTTTACCTTAGATCTAATATCTTGTACCTTTTGAGATAGACTTTTCACTAATTTTTCTTAGATATAATTGTAACATGTTTAGCACTTGCCAAATAGAATAAATTATATTAAAACACAATTTTTATTTTCTTATATTTTTTTCTAATGTCCATGAGGTTTATACATGCATTGGGTTGTATGATGTTTTTATATGCATATTGTCTGAGTTCAAATTTTATCATTGCAAGGTTAAGTTTTACCAATTGTTAGCCAAATAAAAAAGAAGGGTAAATTACCCAGAAGTCCTATTTGAAAGAGGAGAAAGTTTATTTAATCCCACAACCTTTTGGATACTCTCAAAAGTTCATTACGTATGTTTCTTCTTCGTTTGTCTCTGTACATTCGTTATTCTTTACCTATTTCTCTTATTGATTTATGGTAACCAGTGACTACGATATACTTATTCTCTTTCTCTTTCTAATATATAGTCACAGGTGATCGACGAGTACTATTGATTGGGGTTCACTAGCAACTATCGACCACCAATTTCTTATTTCATCATCACCGACAGCAAAAGAGACAAGTTTCCAACGAAGAATATGAGTAAATCTACTTAAATATGATATAGATCTCAAATTTATATCATATTTGAGTAGAGCTACATAAAATCCAACTAGATCTAAACAAAAAATAGTTGTCGGAGTACAATCTTCTCTCTATATATGTTTCTCTCCTTCGATCTCTCAATTTTTATACTTTTTCTCTGCTACACATTTTTATTTTTCTATTTTAATAGAGAAAATTTTCAAGTTCCGAACAAGTTATTTTCGAGTTTTAGTTATAGTTGGTGAAAACTGTAAAATTTTACAGTTTCAGTTTTTTTATATTGAAATGAATTATGCTTTAGAACTGTAAAAGTTTGCAATTGCATAACATATTTTCTAGCTTGATTAATAAGGATAAATGCTTAATAGAATCATGTTTTGAAACTGTAACATTTTACATTTTCAAAACTTGATTTTTCAATTTGATCAATATCGGAGATTATTTGCTTAAACCCTACAAAAATTGAAAAATAATATATGTTTTTTTTTTCTTCTCATTGTTACTGTTTATTGTTGTTATGTTTTTTTTTTCCCCCTTATTTAAATTTATCAATATTTAGCATATTTTGTTTTTTTTTTGCTCTAATTTCTCCCTTTTTTTTTCCATCAATATTCTGAACATTTCGGTGAATCTCCGATGATATTCTTGACGTCCAGTGAATGTTTTGGCCATTCCAGTGACTTCCAATGACATTTAGAACACTCCGACAATACCCTGGCGAACTTCTGGTAATACTTCAACGACTTTCCGATGATGTTGAATATTTTGGCGAGTTTCGGTGATCGTTTGACAGAAGTCCGGCGGTGGTGGAACATAACAATGTTTTTAAATTTATTAAAAGGAAAAAAAAGTATTTTTTACTTACAATTAAAAATATGTAAGACTAATTGGTACAAATATTTTATTTTTGGATTAAATGAGTTTTAAATTTTGTATATGAAACTTATTGGTAAGTACCCTAAGTATAATCAAACAACCTCCAATCCAAGGCATCTCTTCTGGGCCTAGGCCCATTTCTTGGTGGATCATAATCACGAAAAATCAAGGTGAAGCCCACCTATAGTCATCCAACTGTGTGGTGTAACACTGAACTGATCATAACCCTTCTTTTATTTCATTTTTGGAAAATTTAGCCAAAACCCTTTCATTGGACTCTAATTTGATGAAAATAACAATACAATTTATTTTGTTTCATAAACCTTTATATATATCTCACAGAACTCTTTTGACGAGGAATACTTTTATTTTATTTTATACAAGTTTAAAAATGTTGCGTTTTTGTATTTTTGGTTAGTTCATTTAGTATGTACTCTGTTTTTAGTAATAGTGAAATATTACTGTGAATCAGAGTAACATGTTACTGTGAGACAATTACTATCAAACAAAATAACATATTACTATTTGCATCAATTTCGAAAGTATTTTTTTGTTTATTTTTAAAAAATTTCATAATCAATATGAATCTTACTTGATAGGTCTTGATGAGAGAATTATAAAAATACTAATTTTATTTAAAAATGACATTTAGATAAAAAGTTACATTATTTTAAGGTTTAAAATATTAAATTATTCACTAAATATATTTTGGTAATAATAGTATTTGTTGGACTTTTTAAAGAAAACTTTTTGTGTTATTCTCAATGCATTAAAGTTTTATAATGAGAAGGGTTTAACCAAATTCCCCTTCATTTTACATAACTTTCATATTATTAAATATTGAACAATAAATGTTAAGGACTCCAAAAAAAATTATAAAAAATTCTACACGATACTGATATATTGTGAAAAAAAATTTGATAATTTTTTGAGTTTCTAACATTTTTGTAAAATATTTATGTTTAATTGCATAATTGTGATTGTGATTTGTTGGTGGTTTACTTGGGGATTTGAATTGGTTTACTTCATTCACCCCGGATCGGGCCCTCTGTCTTTGGTTGGCAAGTGTGGGATTACCATAAATATTTTCAAATCTTCTTACATCTTTTTCCAAATCAATTTCTCGTCATTTTCAAATGATAAAAAAAACCTACCCAAATCCCTTTTCAATTTCATCTAAATTCGTATAAATCAATTCTTTAACATATTTGGGTTGTGAAATCATACGTTCAAAGTGTTTCTTGAAATTTAATTTTGATTAAAATTAAATAAAAAAAATCTTTAAACGTTCCTTCAATATAAATTTAGTCATAAGATGATCATATTACAAATATAATAATGAAGAATTAGTAGTATAAGATTTTATTTTTTTTGTTTTTGGAACGCGAATTAGTAGTACAAGATTAATAACCCCAAGGTTCAAACAAAACTTATAGGGTGTGTTTGGTAACGTTTACGTTTTCAGTTTATATTTACAAAAATTTTATAAACTGATTTTTGTTTATTTTTAGAAAAACATAAACTACAAACGCGTTTGATAATTGACAAAATGTTTAAAAAAAATTAAAATATAAAAAAGAGTGAGAAATGACGAGTGGTGGCAAGTGGCGGCGGAAGACGGTGGATAAAAATGGTAGCAGGTGGTGGCTAATGTTGAGTGGTAAAAAAATAAAAAACTCAAAACTCAAAACAGAAACAGAAACACATTTTTTGGCCAAATTTATAAACTGAGACCACTGATTTATAAATCAAAAAATTTACCAAACAAGTTTTTATTTGAGTTTTTTTAATTTCGTAAATATAAACAGAAAACTGAAAACGTAAGTATTACTAA